AAAATGGCGGACAAACTTTAAGAACAGTTCGTTTACCTTGCTTAGATGCTGGAACGATGTGGTCATCAGGTCATCGCCCGTATCGACGAACTCATCATATGACTCCAATAGCCAAGACTCAAGCAGAGAGTAGACTATCGGCTGTAGGTATTCGGGCAGGTTCCCCAACGAATCCAGCACTGGTCTGTCCTTTGCCTTGTTGGCAGCAACCGTCTCGTCCGCAGGTTCCTTGTCCGACCTCCTTTTGACGTCCGGCCACGACCTTAGTGGTTCTTCTTTAGATTCGGTCTCTGACTCATCGACCTGAATCTACTTCCTCTTCTTCGACCGCTGGGCTGGAGCCTTCCGCCTCGGGCGAGCAAGTGGTGGCTGAGTGACCTGTTCTGTCCTGGTCGTTTCTTACTCAGGACGGGACTGGGAAGACGCGACAGTTCGCACCGGTTGTACCACTGTGGGGCGAGCAGCTTCAGCCGCCCTTTCTTTCCTCGATTAAGAGAAGTTGAGTGGTGCTCGCCGGGGCTGCTCGGACTCTTTCGGAGGCATGGTCACTGCATGCAGGTGCGTCAGTAACTAAGTAAAAATTATTCCACGACCAGAAAGGAATCAGTGTGCAACTTACATTCTGGGGACTCTAAAGATGCTTGGTCGCTGAAAAAACCATACTTCTGCAAGTTTGCGGTCGTCACGAGCTTACTCACGTCCCAGCTTTCTTCAGGGAGAACCCCAAAAGACACGATCCTGTCCGGGTCGCAGAGCAGGTCCAGGCTGGTCGTCTTGTTAACTGCAAAAGAATACAGGTCGTTAGAAAAAGCGAGCGCACAATTAATGAATCTAGCGAAGAGGGACCTACTTGGTTTCTGAAAGCGGCAGTAGCCGTCGTAGCAGAAGAAGAAGAACTTCGTCTCGTAGGCCCCCGCGTTGCTGGGATAGCTATGTATCCCTTCGGCGATGGTAGATCGCCGAGACAAGTAATAGGAGTCTTTGTCCTTACTTCTTTTGAGGTAATACGAACAGCCGAGCTCCACCGCTGTTAGCTCGCCCAAGCCGCTCTCATGGCACGCGATGTACATCGCAACAGAGATGACATACGCGTTTGGCGTTAATTGCATTGGTGCGATCCCGAAGTGATCCAGGACCGACCTAATAAAAGGGTGGAGAGGAATCATCCCCCCACCAAATAATGACTTAATGACCACTTTCACACCCATAAACTTTTAAAATACTACTTTATATTTCGATGGCGAACATATAGCAAACTCAGTCCAGGCTATTGGGGCTTTTAAAGAAAGGGGACCGATGAGTCTTTTGGTAGTGGAATGTTGGATTTTAGTGGTTAAGATTGATCGGAATTTGACTTGAGAGGGGCGCTGCACAAACTATAATCGCTTAATTACCCACGATTGATGGCGTCAACGGGAGTAATGTTTGAAGGGTTTTGGTGAGTAATGATCAGAAAAGAGAATGGTGGTAGTGTAGGATCCCAACGATATTGGAATTGGAAATAGATATAAAATTGGGTAGTAAAATAATATTTTAAAAGTCCGTGGGTGAGAAAGTGTCATTAAGCTATTATTTGGGTGGGAAAAAGTCGTTTACTCTTATAGTTATCATGAAGGATATTTAACTAGATATCAAGGCTTCGTTTGGTTCATTATTCTGATAGCTTTTAGAATAATCTTTTGAAAAAAGTTAAATTGGACAGGTATTACGATGTAGGATTTGGAAATTAACAAAAATATTCCCTATGTTTGTTTATTTACTAAACACCCCTATAATAAAATATTTAAAGTTAACAAAAACACCCCCAACCAACCCATTAAATACAGACAGCCGGCCACCACCGCCGGAGGGTGGCCGAAGTATTTTTGCAATTTCTAAAAAAAATATTTGGGGTTGTTTAGTTAAATTAACAAATTTAAGAGGTTTAAAAGAAATTGAAAAATATAGAATAATATTTTGGTAATAATGACATTTTATTGTTTAACTTTTTTAGGAAGACTAATAATAGTATTCCCAAAAGTGAGCCAAACGAAGCACAAATTTTCATTTATTTATTTATTTTAATGGTAATTGGCCACCCCTTGGTATCACTCTAAGTCTCTAACTCAAGACCGGGGGCACTTTCAACTAGGCGCCCCTGTATCCATCCGGCCACAAGTGAGTGGTTGGATATCAAAATTTATAATTAATGACTTTTAAATTCTTTATTATTTTATATTTTGGGACTTTTCTCATTTCTTGATTTTCCTAAGGAAATTTTAAAAGTGACTTTTTACTATTTTCTCTTCATAGTTTAGATAAAAAAAATTTCTGTTTTGCAAACTTGTTACTAGAGTATTAATTGTATATTTTTATTTATTGATTCATTAGGAATTTAAAATTACAATTATAAGCATTTTTTAGTATGTAACCTAATAAAAAATGAATTATAAAAAAAGTAAGTTTTTGTGTGCGTGTGTGTATATATATATATATATAATTTTGTTTAAGTACTTTTATAACTCTTTTAGAAAATCATTATTTGGATTAATAATGTTGACCAGCTGAGTTCTGACAGGTGGAATTCCCCACGAGATTGGCAACTTGCAAAGTCTACAACTTTTAGTTCTTGGTTCCAATTTTTTAACGGGTAATATTTCTCCCTCAAAATTCAAAATTTCAACCATCTATAATAGAAAATATTAAGAGTATGAACATAAATATTTGGTATATATAAAAAGAATAAAATAAACTTAAAACTTATATATATATTAAAAAAAAAAAAAGAGCCTATACTAGTAGATACATTATCTTTTCTTCACTTTGTAAATTAATAAGTCGATAAATGTATGACAACCAATCAGTTTACCTTAGAAAGGGTCAAATACCGTTAAAAGTAATAAACCCTAATTAAAAAAGTCAAAACTCAAATAAAACAATTAACAAAATATTTAAATTTTAAAAGCAAATTATACTAAAAAAAATTTAATGAAATTTTTATTTTCTATATTCCTATTTTTAAGAATATTAGGGTGGAAAAGGTAATAGAAGTACATGAAAAAAGCTTTAAGAAACAACTTTTAACAAATGTTTATTTGGAACAAATATTTACTTAGAAAATAACTTAAGTTAGAATATTTTATTTCAAAAGAAAATGTCTATATATAATAAATTAAAAATAATTAAATGTAACCTTAAGTTAGAATATTGTAATTCAGTTGCATAGTGCAAAACAAAAAAGTTATGTTAGATAGCATATCAGCTAACAAACAAATTATGTTCAGTCAGTTACAACTCAAATTAATAAATGGTACTAAAAATATTTAGTTGGAATTGACTAAACCATTTAGCATGTGATTGTTTAAATTGTTAAAACGTGTGTATTTAGGATATTGAATCATCAACTTATTTAATTTTAACAATTTATAAATGGGTGTTTAGAGTAAATATATAAATTTGAAATTTCATTGACCGATTTATTGAGTAAATGGGTGTGAAGAGTAAAATTTGATTGAAAATAATATCTTTTTTAACTTTTTAATACATTTCAAATGTTAAGTATAAAGTTCAATTTAATAAACAATCTTACATAATGATAAGTTGACATTTCACTTAAAATCTTAGACCAACATGTTCCGTCACATCAAACTTAAATTTTTTTCATTCTTTTTATCCAATTTGTATATAAGAATTTGAATTTGAGATATTCCTTTAATTCTGATACCATGTTAAGTTGCTATCTCACTTAAAAGTTTAAGATAGTAAGTGAGAATCAACATATATAAGACCAATACATAACAAAGTATTGAAAACAATGTATCATTTTCTTTTTAAAAGGGTAGTGTTTTATTTACAGACTAATATGAAAGCTAATGTATACAAACTTTATATTCTTTCGTTAATACATCATCATCTATATTCATTGAGTATTTGATGAGTTCACTATATATCATGTTAGTTTGTATTCAAGAGTTTATACATAAAAACTTTGTTCACAAAGCCACGTGAGCATGAAGAATAAATGCTTAAACATATCATATAGTTGCCTCATTAATAGTCAAACTTCCATGATAAATTAATGAACCAAGCTTTCTTGTAATTAAGTTTTATGAATATAAGGGTTTGATCTTGTACAGCTGGTCTCCTTCCGTCTACCATCTTCAATATTGCTTCTTTGCTGGACATTTTTCTTGAAAACAGTGGCCTATTTGGTAGTCTCCCAGTGGATATCTGCGATCATCTTCCAGCACTTCAGAATATTTTTCTCTATCCCAATAGAATCAACGGCAGTATTCCAAAGAATATCAAGAACTGTACTTCTCTCCAAATTTTATTACTGACTGAAAATAAATTGACAGGTATTTACCTTCTAAAGATTTGCAATTTTTTACAATAGTAAATGGTAGGTGCACACTTTTATTTGACATATATCATCTTTGTTTTTTTTTTTCAAAATGTGAATGATGAACCTGGTCGGATGACCTTTGTCCATACTTTGAATGATGAACCTGATCGGATGACCTTTGTCCATACTTGAGAGTTAACAAAGATGGAACAGCTTGTTTAAATGTATGAATCAAAAAACAAAATTAAAACTTCAGTAAATAAAACATTTGTTATATCTTCTTCAGTTTATATATTGGTATTAATACTGTTCTGCTTAACTAAACCAACTTGATTTTTATTTAATTGGATCTCATGAACTCTTTAAGGCATGAAAAAGCTAAAAGCTTTATGCATCAATTCTTGCATTTTGGCAAGTGAAATTCCAGACGAGATTGGAAATTTGCAGAGTCTACGAGCGTTATCTCTAGGTGTCAATAATTTAAATGGTGTCATTCCAGCCTCGATCTTCAATATTTCAACCATCGAAGCTATTGATCTTGCTATAAATAACCTTTCAGGCCGACTACCATCAAGCGTTGGCCATTGGCTTCCGAACGTCCGCGAACTTACCATAGGAGGGAAATAAACTTAGTGGAACAATCCCCAACTCCATCTCCAATGCTTCAAAACTCGCTATGCTAGATCTGTCCTCGAATTCATTTTTTGGCCTTATTCCAAATACATTTGGCAACTTGAGATTCCTCAAACGGCTTGTCCTAGAGTACAATAACTTGATCACTGAATCACCTACTGCGCAATGGAGCTTTCTCTCTTCTTTAACAAATTGCAGGAAACTGAGACTTTTGGTCTTAAATTCTAATCCATTGTCTGGTTTCCTTCCACTTTCAATTGGGAATCTATTTTCATCTCTTCAATATTTTCTTGCAAATAATTGTAAACTCAAAGGCAGCATTCCTATAGAGTTCGGTAACTTGCATAGCTTGATATTTCTAGAACTTTCAAGGAATGAGTTGAATGGATCTATTCCGACTATTGTGGGAAGATTACGGTGTCTCCAAGTTTTAAAGCTCGTTATTAATAATTTGCGGGGACCCATTCCGTATGAGCTTTGCCAATTACAGACATTGGGTGAACTGCTGTTAAATGATAATATGCTCTACGGATCGATACCTACATGCTTGGTGAATTTGACTTCTCTAAGACATCTGCAATTAGGCTCCAACAAACTAACTTCTAGCATACCATCATCCTTATGGACTGTTCAATATATCTTGTATGTAAACTTGTCATCAGATTCATTAAGTGGTTCTCTCTCTTCAGATATACAGAGTTTGAAGGTCTTGAAAGATCTAGATTTGTCAAGAAATCAGTTATCAGGCAATATTCCCGTCACCCTTGGGGACCTTAAAGATCCAGAAACTCTATCTTTGGCAGATAATAGATTTGAAAGCCCTATCCCTAGCACATTTGGAACATTGATAAGCTTGGTATCCTTGGATCTTTCTAATAATAGTCTCTCAGGTGGAATTCCCAAGTCATTGGAAGCTCTCTCACATCTTGAAAACTTTAATGTCTCTCTTAATGGTTTAGAAGGGGAAATTCCCACCAAAGGTCCTTTCAAAAAAATTTCTGTTCGGTCATTGATGTTAAATCACGCATTGTGCGGTTTGCCAAGGCTAGGCGTACCTCTTTGCAAGGGTGACACCATCAAACGATCTAAAACAACCATTACTTTTGTGATGAAATATATTTTGTCTCCAATCCTATTAATTTTAATGGTAGCGATTGTGACCATTGTCTTCATAAGGAATCGATCTAGACGAAAAAAATTCTCCCGCTGATCAGGTTGATTTGTTACCTTTAGCAACATGGAGAAGAACTTCATATCTAGAAATTCAACAAGCAACAGATGGTTTTTGTGAGTGCAACTTGCTTGGTATTGGTAGTTTTGGTTCAGTATTCAAAGGGACATTTTCAGATGGAACTAATGTTGCAGTAAAGGTCTTTAATTTGCAAGTAGAGAGAGTACTTAGGAGTAGGGCTGTACAAATCCGGATATCCGATCCGAATAGGGCATTTTTTGATCCGATCAAAATTTTCGGATCAAGCTATTTGTTGATCCGAATCCGATTTGAATTATGTGGATATCCGGTTATCCGGATATCCGATTATTCGGATCGGATAATCGATTATTCGGATCGGATAATCGGATATCCGAATTTTATCCGAATTTTAAGATTTCCTTATTAAAATTTAAAACCAAATAATTCAATCCTTCATTTCATTGGGTGTTCAATGAACTACAAACATAAGCAGTTAGAATGTGTCACATTTCATAGGAACAACATCAAAGTGCACAATAATAATAATCTAAGATGCAAACAGTTTCAATGAACTACAAACTACTACAAAGTACAAATATAAGCACTAAGCAGCACTGCAATCAGAAATGCTCCTGTGGCATTTACATCAAAAAGACAGCAAGAGAAAAACAAGGGGACTTTTCAAGTAAATGCTAGATTGACCATCAAGTCTTGTCCCTTGCCAGTTGCCACCCCACGTAGAAAGACCAAGGTGCTTCAATTCATCACTGCACAAAAGGCAAAATATTATGTCAAACAATGAAAAATAACAACAATAATTATTGCTTTGAAACGAGTATAACCCACCTCTGCATCTGCATCCTCTGCCCCACCAACTTTGGTATTGCCATTCACCCTCTGGGCATCTTCTGTTACAGTAACAAATAAGAGGAAATTAGACTGAAGATCTTTAATCAAACTAACAAACCCTTGAAGCTGGCATAAGAGATTAACCATCAACTGATTCTGAATCTCTAAATTCCTCAATGCCTTAGCCTTATACTTATCAGCAACTATCCCTACATAACTCTGAACACCACACCCACATATTCCAGTCACCGTCTCCCATAAAATGAAGTCATTCTCCATAACCATAACTAATCAATGCATAATCAACCAATATTATGACTAAATGTGCAATCACAATGGATTAATTCAACCCAGTAGCTATTTTATATCTCCGTTGGTAGGCTGTGTTCATACGTCCGAGCAGATGGGCACACATAAGCTTGGTGACCTCTCTCACCACAGTTGTTGCAGACAAAAATTGATACACAATCAGTCAATCACGGCTAGAATGGCTAGTCTGCCCACAATTATGGCAAATGTTGTCGCGACAAGGACCTCTAACTTCATGCGCCAGGCCTGATTTGGGGCATTGAGGGGCCATATGACCTGATATAATGCATACGGGCTCCTTTAGACAGTCACAAGTGGCGGCGCTAGTGACGGGGCAAAATTAATCCGATTTTTAAATATCAAAGTTTCTGTAGAAACTAAAAAAGTAACAAAAAGTCCTCTCACCCCGGCAGTCCCCAGTTGTTGCATTAGCATACAGTTACATTTGGACAATCCCTTGCAAAATGCCCAGGACGTTTACATTGATTGCACAGATAATCTTGCCTGGAACTGGAAGTTGCAGCATAATTAATCACAATTCAAGCCCATAGTTGCAAGTTAGGATTAACAATCTTATTTCTCACTCAACCCCCAGCATTTGTTACTACTATAATGAAAAAAAAATATAATATCAATTAGCAAACAAGATTTCATCCGAAAACATAGCATTTGTGACCCATATTAAAAAGTACTTAGAAAGATTATATCCAGTGCCAAGGATATTTCAGGTATCTTCAAATGGTTGGAAACATCAGGTCAAACCCAAATTAACCACAGCAGCCGTTAGAAACACAAATCAAACAAACAAAATCAAACCAGTCACTAAGTTTGAATCAAATCCAGCCACCAACAATCTTTGGAAACACACATAAAACCAAACCCAATCGGCATAGTTTGAATCAAACCCAGCCTCCATCAACCTTGTAATTCAAAACGCAAGTCAATAATTCAATCATAAAACCAAACGAAATCGCACCAGGCTATTACGGTGTGGCGGCAGTCGCCCTAGGCTGTGACAACAATCAATTTGGGGCTTCAATCGTCAGGGAGACTGAGATCTGAGGGTGTTCGAGCGAGAGAGAGTGAGACACTGACAGAGTTGAGAGTGTTCGAGCGAGAGAGAGTGAGACACCGAGAGAGTGGAACATTGATAAGCTTGGTATCCTTGGATCTTTCTAATAATAGTCTCTCAGGTGGAATTCCCAAGTCATTGGAAGCTCTCTCACATCTTGAAAACTTTAATGTCTCTCTTAATGGTTTAGAAGGGGAAATTCCCACCAAAGGTCCTTTCAAAAAATTTTCTGCTCGGTCATTTATGTTAAATCACGCATTGTGCGGTTTGCCAAGGCTAGGCGTACCTTTTTGCAAGGGTGGCACCATCAAACGATCTAAAACAACCATTACTTTTGTGATGAAATATATTTTGTCTCCAATCCTATCAATTTTAATGGTAGCGATTGTGACCATTGTCTTCATAAGGAGTCGATCTAGAAGAAAAAAATTCTCCCGCTGATCAGGTTGATTTGTTACCTTTAGCAACATGGAGAAGAACTTCATATCTAGAAATTCAACAAGCAACAGATGGTTTTTGTGAGTGCAACTTGCTTGGTATTGGTAGTTTTGGTTCAGTATTCAAAGGGACACTTTCAGATGGGACTAATGTTGCGGTAAAGGTCTTTAATTTGCAAGTAGAGAGAGTACTTAGGAGCTTTGACTCTGAGTATTGCGCAACATTCGTCATAGGAATCTCATAAAAATCTTGAGCAACCGCAGCAATATCGATTTTAAGGCCTTGATATTTGAATTCATGCCGAATGGTAGTCTTGAGAAGTGGTTGTATTCTCACAACTATTTTCTAGATATGTTACAAAGGTTGTATATAATGATAGATGTTGCATCGGCTCTTGAGTATCTCCATCACGACTATTCAACCCCTATCATCCATTGTGATTTGAAGCCCAACAATATCCTATTTGATGAGGATATGGTTGCACATGTGAGTGATTTTGGTATTTCCAAACTCTTAGATGAAGGAGATTCTAAGACACGAACCATGACACTAGCGACTATTGGCTATATGGCACCAGGTAATGTTTCAACTTTAAATCTCAAATTTATATTTCAAACACTCACACCTAATAATCAGGCACACACATAGTATGGTCAATTATAAATTAGAATATTATTTATTTAATTTTTTTTTGAAGAAATTACATTCAAATTTGTAGAGTATGGATCAATGGGAATTATTTCCACAAGAGGAGATGTCTATAGTTTTGGTGTTTTGTAGACTTTCACAAGAAAGAAGCCAACAGATAAAATGTTTACAGGAGAAATGAGTTTAAAGCATTTGGTGGAGTCATCATTGTCTCATGCAGTTACTGAAGTTGTGGATGCTAATCTGTTAAGAGAGCAGAATGGTTTTGCTGCTAAAGTGAAATCCTTGGTAAGCATCTAATAAACCAATAGTGCATAAAGTCTACACCCTTAAGGGGCGCAAAAGACATTAGGAAGGTTGTTAAGGGAGTAGGGTCCACAAAGCACAAGTGTCATGGGTGGGTAGGAGTCTGTTTTGAGAATACAAATTGTGTGAGTAAGGGTAATTGTGGAAAGGGGATTAGTATATATTCAGGGAGAGTAGTAGTAGCAGGGCAGCTCGATTTTAGTTGATAAAACAGTGGAGGGTCCTAGCTCCTCGAAACGCCAGGGTTTATGTCCAGTTCATTCCATCTTTTATCTGTTCCATTTTTATTCAAACTATCTGATTAATACACATATTGCTGGGATTGCATTTGCTGTTTTTGGTGTTATTTTGGTTGTGGATTGACTATGTGTTGGTTGATTTTGTGTGAGAATTATTGCTGGTTGGTTGTGGATTGATTTTATCGGCAGGTGATCGCATCAATTGGTATCAAAGCCAAAGTGGGGAATGGTAAAATCCAAAATGGAGAATAGATGGATAGCGTTGAGAAGGAGATGAATACAGTAAAGAAAGACATAGGAACCTTGAAGATTGACATGGGTAGTGTGAAGGAATATTTGACAGAGATGAGGGAGTTAATGCGCATGAGAGAAGAGAGGAAAGGAAGAAGAGAACAAGAAAGAGAGAAATCCTCTTCATCGGCAGAGAACCAGAACACCAATAGAGATAAGGAATCAGATCGGGAAAACAGTGGGAAAGACAATAAAAGAACACCCGAAAGCTGGAGTTACCCATCTTTAATGGCGAGGATCCGTTTGGATGGTCTTTCAGAGCAAATCGCTACTTCACCATCAACCGTTATCAGGAGACATAAATGGTGGAAGCAGCAGCAGTTTGCATGGAAGGAAGAGCTTTGAGCTGGTATCAGTGGGTCGAATCCAGAGCACCTTTTTAGTCGTGGGAAGCCTTCAAAACAGCATTGATCGTTTTCGGCCATCATTTAAAGGGACTGCATATGAGGCTTTAGTAGCCTTGAAACGAGACGGGACAGTCACAGAATATAGGGAAATGTTTGAAGCCAACGCTGCACTATTGAAGGATTTGGGTGAAGATCTGCTGAAGGGAATATTTGCGAATGGGTTAAAAGAAGAAATAAAAGCAAAGCAGCGTTTGTCTCAGCCAAACTCGTTATTTGGGCTGATGGATCAAGCCCACAAGATTGAAGAGAGGAACTGGGTGCTTGAAAAACAAAGGCCCAAGTCATTTAAAAATCTAACAGGTCGAGGGGAGCCTTATTCACGGGTCAGCCCAAACCCGGAACCCACGAGCACTAACTGGTGGAATTCTAGCGCAAAACCACCAGATCCATTTTCGTCTTCATCCAACTCCAGCAAACCACGTGAGCGAAGAGAGAAAGCGATTGAGTCTATGGGGTCCATCAACCAGAACGACAACTTTCGACGACTTTTTGACGCTGAAATACAGTACAACGCGAGCGTGGGCTTTGTTACTGCTGCGACGAGAAATTTGGGCCAAACCACATGTGTAAAAACAGATCTCTGCAAGTTTTATTACTCATGGATGACGAAGACACAA